CTCGACTTCTCGCACCTGTAACATGCCTAATGCTACAATATTTACTCTCCAAATGGGGGTTTCATTCCATGTCCCCTTGTCGAATTTTGCACCTCATGGATCGACGCCCATTTGTTCAGTTGGGCTTAGCACTCGTCATTGGGTTTTATGGACGAATAACGCATGGAATGCACACACACGAACATTCCGCGGATCACACTTCCACGCAGTGTATAAGTGTGACTTTTCTAACCTCACGCATGCAAATGTGACGAACTCGGGCTTACTCCGCATTGACAACTAGGTGTGCAGCAATGTTTCTACTCTTTCGTTTGACGTCGTCAAGCGCTAGTTATCTCTCCATAAGCTGGATTTCGCTTATCCTTTGATGCAACATCAACGAGGGGGGTAGAGATGGTGAACGTTGCTCCTGTCAGTCCGAAATTTTGGCTTGGTATGCTCCGTCAGGTATATCAGGAGAATGTATCACAGTACTCACAGTGCACATCTGGCCACTTCTCGGATAGGAACCTGTGGATATATGTAGAGTTTCACAGAACTACTTCGATCAGTGACCTACAATTTGGCTTCTTCTGATTGACCAGTGGGTCACCGCTTGCCTTTTTCTTCCGGGTAACTTTATCCGCTTATCTTTGCCTTCGGGCCCCACAACGATCATTGCATCACTCCTGTCTTTTAGCTTTGTGCTTAAACGGGTCATTATTATTATTACTATTATTATTACTGCTATTATTATTATTATTATTATTATTATGGTTCAGTCGTGCTTGCGGCGAGGCAGTCCAGGCATACGTCTTGCAATCCAAGTGTCCACCAGTTTGTATATTCAAGTGACCTCACGGCACCCCATCCCGTATGCAACTGTCAGCGGTTTTCTTATGACGAAGCGTCGATATGAGGTTCCGGTGTATTGCTTACTCCCATCTTTTCCATTTTATTAGCAACCACGGAAACACTTCGTAGCACTGGACAGAGATGAGAAGCGCATGGTTGGAGGAGTGGAATTGTGGCTCCAATTGCTTTTTCCTGAATTTACTTACCGGCAGCTGTTCGCTAACGGCGGCTCCACTCCAGCACGCTTGATTTCTCGGATCACAATTTCTGGCTGACATTCTTTCTCATTAGCATATCTAAATAGCTATCATCATCGGCCTCTCGGTTTCTTTCTTGTCAAAGTTTCCAAACCTTGCTGAATCATTCCTATATCAGAGATTAATTTTCTATTCTCCTATTGCCGACATCTCTGTTGCCACACTTCTTCTTTGCCCTTCGAAACTCAACTATTTGTGGCCCAATCATGTAGCTTGTAAGTATAACTTGTTAAGCTTAACTGACCGTTCTCTGCAATCACTGACCGTGTGATAGACCCGCCGTCCCCACCACATCGGATTGCTGATATTGTATATCCAACTAATTTACTGGCACATCTTATTGCATTGCTGCTTGTAACGTACGCTTATCTAACGTTTTTTCCTAGCAACGGCGTTTCAGCTTCTGTTTTGGCATTTCCAATGGGTACGGTCGAGCGTCCTTCCACCGAGGAGATAGAACTGCATTTGGATTTGCGTGACTCTTGGTGAGTCAGTGTTACCTCGGCTTCATCTTGGCGTTTGTGCATCTTGCACTTCTCTTTGTGTAGTGACATGCACCAAACTGCACCATAGATTTCCATCTCCGCACTATTCTGCATGGCTTCCACTTCGTGTTACTGTTTTCCCTACCTGTCACAGCATCACACACATTTTCTGCGGCACCATCGCTCTATTTGTGTAAGTAAAAGGAATGCCTTCAGTTTACTCTGACATATGAGCCAGTTGACCCCTTAGGACCATAAGCCCATATATCTATCGTCCTTATGTTATTTTCAATGTGATGCCATCAGTATCCATTTAGAAAATTTGCTCCGACATTAACTGTCTTGAAATCGACTAATTTGCCTGTTGACACTACTCCAACAGTCCTAGTCAATAGCTATGCTAATGTGATAAATCTTGTCTATGGATGCATCGGTTTAGGGCTTGAGGCTTAGAATCATTACGGATTCGTGAATATTTGTTCTCCTATGTATGCTACTGCAGTTTGTTTCATAGCTAATGAAAACCTTTATCGCATCTCTCTACACAGTGACTTGATTAATGTACCTTTTGACAGTCCTTAACTTTTACCAATCCAGTTTTGCATATGCACAAGCAAGTGGAGTTCGCAGAATTACCAATGTTTGATTAGCTTGCCGAACTGTTATGATCCTTTTATGCTGCGATTCTTTAGAGGTAAATTATTTACAGTACCTATTTCTATTCCCCCACTTTTAGCTCTAGTTCTTGTGCATTTCTAAAGTGTCTTGCTTCTATTCATGATTGTACTATTTCAGGGTTGAAACTGACCTCCAAGTGGGCGACACCGTTAACATCCTACCTGGAGCTGAATTCTCGTCCTTAGGGCAGCACATTACGATTGATGACAGCGAAGCCTCCAATTCCACTCCAGGCACACACATTCCCGCGGCCGTTATTCACCATCCAGACACGCTGATCCCCGGAACCAAAATCACTGGTAGCTACTACTGCCTCCGTCGGTCGATATTGGAGTCATTCTGGCCTGCGGGTGATGATGGGTTGGACGATAACCTGCTTGAAGATCGTCAGGCGACCACAAATTACAAACCTCTTATGCTGATCGGTAGCATAGTACATGAGTTATTTCAGCGAGTGAGTGCGGAAACAGTTTACTTTACCCGCTTTCTCCGTGCCGTCGACTGCTGTCTTCGCTTACTAAGTATCAGTTCCAACATATAACTTGTCATTCAACGGTGCTTTTACTTTGCATATCCTCCGAATCATTGTGATCATGAAAAGAATGAAGCTTGCCACTGAATGTGTTTGTTCTGAAATCGCTCTTGACTGATCAGTTGTTAAGGACTCATTCTGGACATTGTCAACACATAGTTTCTCAGTGGGACAGTGCCCTTAGGCACTGTCATCCCATACACTTGCTTTCACGAAGTATCGTTGATGGTTGAATCGAAAATCGTCTTTCTTGACTAAAGATGATCACCTATTTATTATTGCATTTGATTTGATACACTGCATGGTTTCTGTTCGCTCATGTTTGTCTGAGTGATGTTACCTATTTGGCATTTACAGCGATGGATCAAACTATCTATTAATGGCTTCGACTGGGCCACGCTTTACTACTTAGTGACTGAGTCACAAGCGCCCTTCATCTACCATACGCGTCACTTCCAGCGAACGTCTTATAGGTTTCTCCCACTTTCAATACCTTGGAATAAACTTGGAACTGACTCGGATATCACAATTTCTGAAATTTTAGAATACAAATCGGTTTTCTCTGGGCTTGCATTGTGACAACGTTTCGCCCTTGACACAAGAGCTTCTTCAGGTCAGGTGAACTAGTACAGATTTGGCTTGGCATTTTATAGCAATTAGAATAATGATAGCATGAGATAACCCGGGTCAGTGGAAAATGTGGTTACAGTTTCAAAGGGTCAAGAGGTCATTCGGGTGGAACATTGCACACGGGACCATCCCATTTGATCCGTGTAATGGCTCATTCACATGTGAGGCAGTGCTGATATTGCTCTTGGCTTTAGTGATGATAGTTCGATGTTTACGCTCCGATCTGAGTCCGTCCGCCTAAGCTGCTCAGACTGGCCGACTTAAGGCAGCCCGCCACGCGTTCCATAATTCCACGCCGTCTATTCTGTTTACGCACCTGTTGGTCTTGGCGGTTTCTAGCGCCTCAGCAATTAACCTTTGTCTTGTCATTCTTACTCCTCTCCTAATCTCTACATTATGCCAGTCGATTGCGTGTTCCGAGTATAGCGCATGTACCGCTGCCTCCGAATCCTTAAGTAAAGCCTCTTATTCGGACTCACTTTTTGGTGGACGCGAAACGTTCCTCTTGTGTTCTATCCTAGTGCGTAGTTCTCTCGTTGTTTGACCCATATGCACTTGCGCACTACCTCTGCAACTAATTTTCTAAACACAATTGATCGTCCCATCTTTTGAAAGTGGATGCTTCAAACGCATCAATGTTGAGCGGAGCGTTTGCCCTCTTATCCTCTTGTTTAGCATCCACCTGATTGTTTCAGATGTTCCATTTTATAACTGATTCCCAACGTCCCAATCCACTCCGTCGTACTCTGTGAAGCCGATTTTAGCGCTCTCTGCAATTAACTTTTAACTAACCGCCTGGGATATCCACTACCTATTAATTTGTTCATTACCTCTTTCCGTGCATCCCTCCTCTCCTCTGTGCACAGGGTCTGTGTCTTGGGAAGCAAAGAGGATACAATCGCAGCATATTCATGTTTCAGATGACCAGAACCATGGTGTAGTATTCCATCTGTATCTATTGGTTTTCGATATATGATTTTTTTAGTCCTCCTCCGTCCCTGTTAACTAAACTATCATGTAATGGCAGTGCTCCCGCCAAATTCTAGTCCCATCGTAAATTTATGTTCGGATAGTTTATAAACTCCTCTTTCTTACCCCGCTTAATGATAACAAAAGTATGATTCACGTAGCGCTGCCAACTTTTTGGCGAGCTACTGGAGTTTGTCAACGCCCTTTTTTCAAAGTCTTCCATATATAGATTTGTCAATACCGTGGATATTAGTGACCCTATGGCAAGGCTATTTTTCTTAGCCTACAGTCTCGACTAGGACGTGAAATATAACATACTGAGGCATACTTTCATTCCTTCTATCATTTGGTCTACTGTGAGTTTTGTCCTTTCCCTCAGGCTACTGTTCTCAGTCAGATAGCGTTGTGCTTCCACCACTGCGTCACTCTTTGGCAGGTTCTTCCCACTTCCCATTTTTGTGAACACCCTAACCTTATTGCTTTTTCCCTTTTGTTTTTCTTGCTATACCTACTAACTAATTCCTCGGTTGCCTCGTACAGCTCATCGTTTCTACGGAGCCCACTGTGCAACAAGGGCGCGAGTTGCTTGAAGTTATTCTCCGTCGACCGGAAACTATGCTTCAGTTGTGAGTTTCACTGATATCCGTTTTGATTGATTTCATTGAATCGACAGGACCAATGAGGCTTCCATACTTGGAAGCGTGTCCACTCATATTTCAAGGGGTTATTTTCTTACCGGAGCTTTGTTAACGTTTTGTATTATCCCATTATCTCTGCCTTAAATTTTGACAATTTACCTTCCCTATGCACCCACATCTGCTGCACGGCTACATTCATCACAGGGCGGTACGGCACGGTTGTTTAAATATGGTCCGAGTACGAAGACGAAGTGACTCCATTACCCCTGATTTTCAATTGAGCAACTATGATTCGGGCACCGAATTTCACTGGATCCAGTTCGCATGAATCGCTTCACCAGAAGACCTCTTGAGTACGCCTGTACGATGTACCGACGCTTCGCTGCGATGCAAATACCACCAGTCGCGCGAGGGTCACCCGGTCCCCTTCGCTTGCTCGAACCGGTGACCACCGGGTTGCATGGCAGATACCTTATCCTTACGCCCCTCCGACCGGCTGCGTACTTAATAATGTTGAGCAAACTGAGGGCCACGGAGAACATAGTGTAGAAAGAAAAAAGCTCAACAAGCGTTGATTTAATCGGAGTGAAATATTGCGTGCCAGAAACTGGATGCAGGAGTCCCACCTATTGTGTCATATCCGACAATCTCCAACTACTGATGAGGATCATCCCAAAACACCCATCCACCTGGATGGTAAGAACCAGTCTGTTAAACTGTCCTGATCACTTTCTTTGTGCCACACCATCTGCTGGCAACCTCCTGAAGTCTCCCAACTTGGTACCGAGAAATGGCATCAACTGGAACACAGAAGACAGCCTGGTGAACTTAGGATGTTTAAATTTAATGGATACCCTGTTATACACCACAAGACTTCTTTCAAGGTACTGACAGGCTTCACTTTTTCTCACCTACTGCTGAGCTCCTAAATGCCATCACAACCCTCATTCGTTTTCTCGCTGATGCCTCTACTCTCGCAACCGCACTAACTTCCCTGTCCGAACACGTTTAGAAGGAAAAGACAATCCGGTTAACTGGAATGAATCGATCATGGTGGCAATATATTTGAAGGTTAGTCGCGTCGAATGTGTGCAACGCAGGGGTATTATCGTGACATTCGTGGTGACAAGACTAGTGGCCTCTATTTCCATTTGTCGCTTCACTTTGATTAGGAATCTCGGATGAGGAAAGGAGTAGGTATGTTTCTGTCCGGAAGCGGGCTTTATAGACTATATATTCACTCCGCGACAAATGTCAGAGCTACATCACACGTACCACAGACTGACAATACTCGAGATCCTCTACCTTGAGAATCCGTTCGACTCAGTCGATCGATCCATTCTGTTCATGAGGTGTTCCGATGCACTGTGTGAACGTCTTACTTGCCTTGTACTCGAACACCACAGGCTGAGTCAGAGTCTGCTATGACTTGTCGGATATCTTTTCGACAACAGCTGGCGTCGGTTAACTTTGTCACATTGCCACATACTTCTCCGTTTACGAAATTTACCGATGCTGTCTGGTCGTTGCATAGTTGATCTTCATTACTCTGAGAATATTGCTGTTTTAGGATCTTAGAATGGTCCATGAATGATCTCCCTGGTGTGGGCCCCTGATCTGGTCTGTGCTTCGCACTTTCGAAGCGCCCACTGCTTTTAGCAGACCACCAACCACTTGCTGACACTTTGACCCTTGATGGCGAAGAATTTGGGGTAGTTAGTCAGCTACATGAGCACCAATAGGCGCATGACTACTGAGGTTAGGTTACTTATTGTAGAAGCTCGAGCTCGCTTCTTGAACCTGCGATCTCTGTGGCGTCAGAAAGGGATTTCCCTCCTTTTGAAAGCCTTATTTACAAGGTCACAGGGAAGGTTATCCTACTCTGCAGTAGTTAGACTTAGCCTCTTCGATCCGAGGATCTGATACTTTTTCACTTCCTTGATCATCGTTCTCTGCGAACCATTGCTAGTGTCGAGTGGCACCAGTATATCCACAACTTTGGTGTGCATATGCGAGTACTGAATGATGCTAATCAGACGGGCTCCTTGGCACAACAATTCATATTGAATAAATTGCGTTGCCTAGGGCATGTACTACGTTTGTGCGGCCACTGCTTACCTAGGAGCAGCTTGTGTTTGTTGGATGTAGGATGGAGCAAGGCTTTAGGTGTGTACAATTTGATTTGATATCGGGAAATGTGGCCATTGGCGACTCAACTTGGAGCTGTTGGTTCGTCTCACCTTCCAGACTGGAACGCACGTGACTCACCAAGTAGAGACGTCAACATGGATCGCAGTCGGCACCAGTGGCGGGTCTGCATTCGTCTCGGAGTGGGACTACCTGTTTAAAGTTCATTTGGTGCTGAGTTATCCTCGGGGTAATGGCTGATTAAGACACGAGGCAGTTAAAAATATCAATGTCACTTTTTCTTCGCGCGATCGACAGCTGTTTTGCCCGTATGTTGTTGACAAGGTGTTAACCACTTCACGCTGAAAATTCGTCTAAAGCATCTAGGTTATACGCTGTGCCTCTTCTCTACCTCTAGTTATTCTTTACTTCTTGGGCCATTTGTTCAGCAGTGAATTATCAAATAAAGTGACAGGTATAATGCTGTTGAGAATGATGAGAATAGCCAAGTGTATGATGAAACGAAAATATATACGTTTTCGCGGCCACCGCTTTTCAAGGAACACCTTGTTTTGTTTGTCGGACGTATGATAGGGCAAAATTCTAGGTAAGTGAAATTTGATTGCGCAGCGGGAAATGTGGTCATTAGCGACTCCACTGGGAGCTGTCGGCCGGACTCGGCTTTCAGGCTGGAGCGCACGCATCCCACGCACTGGTGACCTTACGGGACATGTTTTGGCAGCCGACATCTTTAGTCTGGCTGCTTTCGTTTCTTAAGCTGACTGCCTTTGTAAACTGTAGCTAGCGCCGATTTGTCTTCCGTGTACTAGCTGATTACTGCGATTTTCATGCATTCAGTTTTCATCAGGACATTAGAAACACGTTGTCAGGGGACATACACCTGTGTTTCTGCATCGAAACATTATCGGTCTGTCTTCTTGAATAACACCATTTATGTCCGCGGTCTGTCAACTACTGTAGAGCTCTCATGGGTCCACAGATGTTGCACGCCGAGCGGTTTCCCTCTCACTGACCCCGTCGCACCGGTTCTACATGGCAACGCACACAGATGACAGTTACACCGATGTTCCCTCGGTGTCGCCGTTATCTACTTCCATTACGTCACTTATCAGGTGACAGTTAACCTGTCGCAATCAGCCCGTGTTCCCTCGGTAACCCCGTTGCTGGGTGACAACTTACATTAATTGATGTTCGCCTTCGTAAATGTCTTTTTGCACTCGTCAGCCCGAAAACACAGTGCTGTAAGTACGGAGGTGTAGGATTTATGTTCGCCTTTCTTCTGTAGTCAGTAGAAGCGTTCTTATAGAAATACTATCTTCTCTCTCGGTGTAGCAGTGCAGTTCTGGGATTGCGCTCCTCTCGCTTGTGCGATAATCGCGGCTAGGATCTGCGGGGGCGTACGCGGTTTGGTTTTCGTGCAGCTACTTGACGCGTGGGGAACTACGCCGACAAGCGTTATTGCCTCGGCTAAGCAGCATACTTAACACAACATAATTCTGTTGTACGTCGTCTTATCTTGATGCGATATGCTGCCAAAATCCTTGGCGCCTAGAGTAGGTGTTTAGGAATTTCCTGGAATTCCAACACCGATTTTACCTCAACTGTTGTCTTTGAAAAACTATTCCAATATTTCACTGCCCGATCCTGTAAGTAATATGTCATGAGCTAGGTGCTTTAGATCTAGCGCTGCGAGCGTTGCTTGGTAAGCTCGCGTGCGGAATCTGCCTTAACATGGGGAAGTCGCCTGGATGTTATATCCGGTGCGTCAATAAGTGGTCACTGCGAAATCGTCAGTGGTGATAGTTTTTGTTGTGACGCCCAGTACGCCTTCACCCCACGACCGCAAGAAGAAGTCCAAGATGAGCCGGGATGAACAGATTTTCTATTACAGCACGGCACCAGTTATATAGCTTTACAAACAAGGGCGATTCCAAGCTACTGAACGCATGAGATCCAACAGGCATGGAGAAAACACAAAATGGAACAAGCAAATGAGAATCGCGAAAATTACTAGCCAATGAAGTGCGGCAAAGAAAATAGTGTCTGCGGAGTTAATCCCTGTTGTTAATCTTCTGGTGAGCGACCATTAAAAACGACGAGTAGCGTCCAATCAGTGTGGAGAAGTGATGCGTTTAAACAAATGCCAGAACGGTTGATAGTGAGTATGATACACCCCAGGAAAATAAAAACAGGTATAATAAATATGTGTCAGCTGAATAATACATCCACGTGAAAAAGCTAAGGAACGCTGAGCAAAGGAAACCAATCAGAATGTCCACAGAATGGGACGGCTGAAATTAGCTGTGAGCGATTGCGAATGAGGCTGAGGAAAGCGGCGTGTCGGAAATGTAGCAGAGAAGCAGGTAACTGCGCAAACAAAGAAATAGGCAACTAACATAATTCATGAAACTGAGGGTTAAGTAGCCAGCTCCCTAACATCTCCCCCTTCTAAAAAGTTAGTTACCTGTACGGAACATAGCTTTTCCGACGCGGGTCTACTTGAAACGGCTGTACAAATGTTCTTGTTCGTTGGGGTCTGTTCCGACCTTCTTGTTCCGGGCATTCCCTTTTTTGAAATTCTCGGTGGGAAGAAGCACTTGGTTTGCCATTGTCAAGCAACTCATTAGCATCAAATCTGTTGGCATTCTGAACATCACCTTCCAGTGTACACCGCGGTTTCAGCTGATTTGCCTGACGTCTCCATACCTGCGCACCAACTTGAACATCGTACATCACCCATCCCCGACGTCGCACGATGCGTCCTGGTATCCAGCTGATCCGCCGTCCCTGAATAGCCGCTGCAGATACAAATTCGCCAACTTTGAACATCCTTCTACATG